CTGTTTGTCCTTGAGCAAGATATTTAACTTTGCTAGATCTCAGTTTCCTCATCTATAGAAAGGGAATAGTAATAGTACCTAAACTATAGCGTTGATGTGTATGGTAGGCAGCAAAATGACCCCTCAAATATGTCCCAGTCCTAATTTCTGGAACCTGTGATATGTTAGGTTACACAGCAAAAAAGGAATTAAGGTCGTAGACAGAATTAGAGTTGCTAATCAACTGACCTTGAAATGGAAAGATTAGGTTATCAGGGTGGACCCAATGTAATCACGAAGGTCAAAAAGGGAGGCAGGAGAGTCAGGGTCAGAGTGATGCTAAGTGAGAAAGACGACAGGACACTGCTAGCTTTGAAGATGGTAGGGGACCATGAGCTAAGGAACAGGGAGAGCCCCAGGTGGAAAAGGCAAAAAACTGGTTTCTCTGTTAGAGCCTACAATAAGGAATGCAGCCCTGATGACCTATTCCAGACTTCTGACCTCCAGAACTATAGGACAATAAATTGTGTTGTTTTAAGCCACTACGTTTGTAGTAATTTGTTACAGCAGCAATAGGAAGCAAATACCATGTGAGAACTGATATTTAAGTGAAACATTTATAATGGTATTTCTCGTATAGTTAGTATTCAATAAATGTTTGCTACTGTCATCATCTAAGAAACATATTTGTGTTCTTAGCAATGCAGCACTCACCAATATTTCTGTTATTAGTAAACCAAATAATTTCATCTGAACAAATATTTTTTCCTAGTCTTTCATTTAAAGACTGATCCTTTAAGCTAATGATTCATTTTATTCCAATGGTTAAGAACATTCAATTCATTCCTGATTGAGAAGACATTTTACTAAATATCTTCTGAGGATACAAAAGTGAGTAAAGCCCACTCTATCCCTGCCCTCAAGTAGCTCACAATCCACCAGATGGGAAGACAAATTTTTGATTTAGCGCCTCACCTCATACATCAAAATACACTCTGATCACTTTAAGAGTTGACCAACTGAAACTATAAGTACAACAAATGGATGCCACTGCATGAGTACAATTTGTGGGTCAGTAACTAAAAATAAGGGCTTTAAGAAAGCAATGGAAGGATTAATGCAATGCTAGGAATCAAAGTAAAGATAAGGGGCAATTTCAGGATCTACAAGACATTTATGAAATGTGATGCTGAAACAGCAAAGACATGGACTAACTACTAACAAAAATTAGGGTCAGGTCATGTTTTAATTATAACCCAAATAAGCTAGGTGATATTTTGAAAAATATTAACTAATATTTATTGTAATTATATGTATCCACCTACATAAAGAAACCAAAGAGAAGGTTCTGATCCTTGATTCAGGGACTAATTCAAGGTGCTAGGTCAGAGATAACAATCAGATAAATTGAATAACTGGTTAAGTAAGGCTGCCTAGGTTTAAACCTAGGTTCCACAAATCAAGGTTATTAGCTATGTGACCTTGAGCTAGCTGTTTGACCAATCATCTAATTATCTTTGAAAGTAAACATAACGGTTCTAACCTCATAGGGCTATTGTGGGGATTAAATGTGATGATGTATACAATGCAACCTAACACAGTGACTGAACACAGAGTAAGTAAACAATAAATGTTAGTTCTTATTGCTGCCATTTCTCTTTCAGGAGCTCCCCATCATCAGCAGAGACAAACAAGAAGCTCAATGCCATAAGTTCTAACAGAGGCATGCAAAGAGTCCTAAGGGAGTCCAGTTACTTGCCCCACTGAAAACACTAATGGGAACTCAGCCACAACAATCAGTGTTATAGACCACATGTCAATTTTATTCACAACATACCTGGATCATGACTAAAGACTTCCTATTAAATACACAATCATAAACATGGTTTACATCATAGTGAAACTAAAAGATATCTACATTTCTGTCATGCCTAAAATAGAGATATGAGTACAAGTCTAGCATTTAAACTAATGACCACCCCCCATACCCTATTGAGTTTTAGCTGATATTGTGCAAAAATCCACAAAAAAAATTTACCAGAAAAAAAGGAAATTAGAAGTGAGCTCTAATCTTATAATGAATAAAGTCAATACATATTTAGTGACCTAAATTACAAAATATCCAAATATAAAACTTTCATTCAATAAAACTGGTAACTGCTAAAATGTGCTAGACACCATGTAAGGAGCTGCAGAGAAGATGCTGTGCAAAAGCAGATATTCTTGCCCTCATAGGTTTTACAGTCTAGAGGTTAAGGCAGATAATTATTTTATAAAATTACAATATACCAGGGGAATCTGGGTGAGAAAGGGCAAATATCCTTCTCAATTTATATGAGAAAAGGTGAGTACTACATAAATATTACAAAATACAAAATTAATAAAGCTATAGTTTCTAACTGCCTTACAAATGGATTCAAATAGTCATTAAAGCAGCTAATTCACAATGGGAATCAGGCTTTGCCTTTAGCCTTATTACGTGGTAATCAGATGAAGTCTTGCAGTTCACTATCAATTTTTGCAAAGGAAGTATGTGTACACAAATCTACAGATTTAGAAAAATCTGTCTAGGCAATTTTAGATTATAATTCAGTGTAACAATCTACCACAGAACTGTCTCCCTATGTGAGGAATTCTATAATATAATAATGATACTATACAATATGAAAGCAAGTTATAGAAAAATGAAAAACGTAATTACAGTAATCCCACCTGTACGATATGAAAGCAAGTTATAGAAAATGAAAAAGGTAATTACAGTAGTCCCACCTTATCCACAGTTCCACTTTCTGCGGTTTTAGGTACATTTGGTCACCCACAGTCTGAAAATATTTAATGGAAAATTCCAGAGATAAACAATTCATAAGTTTTAAATTGTACATCATTTTGGTACCTCACTTCATCTTATCATATAAGCATTGTATCTCACATCATCACAAAAAGAAGGGTGAGTATAGTACAGTAAGATATTTTGAGAGACATTAAAAATTTTTTATTACAGTATATTGTTATAACTATTCAATTACTAGTTATTGTTGTTAATCTCTTACTGTGCCTAATATTTAAACTTTCTCATAGGTATGTGTGTACAGGAAAAAAACATGGCATATATAGGGTTCATTACTATCCAGTTTCAGGCATCCACTGGGAGTCTTGGAACAAATTTCCACAGATAAAGTGGGTACTATTGCATTTGGTCTTTTGATTGTATTCCAAAAAATAACTGAAGATCCAACTGAACTGTACTGTGTAATTTAAGCAAGCTACATTAAACCTAAAGCTTAAGAGTATTCAATAGAATATTTAAGCTGCAATAACTGCCTTGAAAAACTTAACCAAAAAAAAAACTACATTCCAGCACTGAACTTTTTTTTCACCTTCTAGAGAAATAGCCTCCCCTCCAATTCTTCACCACATCCTGACTCTATTAATAGTGGGATGCACAATAAAGGAACCCAATATAGCACATTAGCCACTTTACTGAGACTATTTCTACAAAAAAAACCTTTAGAAATGGAGCTTATAAAAAGACTGTCAAAATTATATCTTTAAAAAAAAAAAAAAAGGTAAACATTTATACAGCTCTATGATTTCCTGCCCTATCTGAATCCCCATTTGGCTCTGGACAACCTGTGTACAGGGACTGTAACCTGGGTTTTATTTTTCCAAGGACAAATGTCTGTTGGACTGGATCAAATCTACATAGCGACAACATCTCTAATACAGCATATCGGAGTGGCTAAATTCCTCTGGCATTTCAAAATTAACAAAACTATACTTACATATAAGCTTACAAGCATATATGCAGGATTTGCCATTTAAAGTTCATGTAAAATTGCAATATATAGATTATATCAGAAAAAGCCACAGACATATAACATTTTGCTTAAGTTTTTTGACCTTAAAGTAAATGCCTTAAAATTTCATCTTCAGTGTAAATGTTAGTAAATAGCCTAGCATAAATGTAGTTTACAAGATGTTCCCACAAATTTGAGAAAGAACAATTGATTCAACTTAACACTATTTCAATGCTTACCCCCACACTTATTGTGTCTGCCTACTCACAGACATTTTTATAAGTCTTTGAGAGCCTTCTTTGAAAAACAGCTAGTAGTCCTCTAAAAACAATGTAAATTAACTATTTTAGTATTGGTGATCATCTCAATCTTCATATGAATTTTAGATTCCAATGGGCGATTTAAGTATTTTAGTATTCTAATTTTGTTTTCACAAACCAAATATTTCATAGATAAATTGGTAACTTGGCAAGCTATTGGCAGAAAATCTCTTCTCTTTTATAACAATTACAATAAGCTTAAGAAATCACAATGCAAGGCAATTTAAAGAATCCTAGAGGAGGTGAAAAATATAAGACACTCCCACACCAAATGACAAACTTTAGTGCCAAATGCACACTTTTGTCAGAGGTTTCAGAGCTGTGGCTAACCACCTCCCAAGTGATGTAAAGATCTCTGGAAATCAGGAGATTCTCCCCTATATTTGGTTCTTCGAAAGCCGAAAAACTGAACAAATGGCCTAAGTAAAATTCGGGGAAGGTTCTGGGAAATTCTGAGCAAGCCCTAAAGGGGTCTCCCAAAAGTACAATCATTCATTCATCTTCGCAAATTCAGACTGCAGGCCCTGCGGAAGCAAAATGAATCAGATCCCAAACTCTGCTCTCTAGAAGACAGGGGGTGGCGCGGAGGGAGAAGGCACATAAACAATCATGAGCTTTGTATAACAGTTTTGAGGTATGGACCGAATCTATTTTTTACCCATGTATACCCAGGGCGTTACATACAGCAGCAAGTGCTCATCAATGGTTCGCTTAAAGAATGTATAAATAAATATGAAACACTAAGACAAGCTGAGAATTGCGGGGGCGTATTCGCCACGGTATCCCTGGCCCAGCCGCCCACCTCCCCAGGCTCCTCAGTCTCCTTAGGCGGCGGCAGCAACCAAAGTTCAGCTCGAGCCCGGGCCCAAGCTGCGCCCTCCCCCCGCCCCCGAAAGGCACTTACCGTTGGTGTAAGGAGACCCTGAGGCCGAGGCGGCCCCATTCTGGGCCTGGCGGCCAGTGAGGGCGCCGCCGGAGGCCGGTATGTCCGGGTGCGACATCACGACGATGGTTATCGGTTTGGGTCTGGTCGGGGTCTGCGACAAGTCCAAGCGAAAAGCTGAAAGACGACTGCTGGAAGCGAAGGGAAAGGGCTAACGACTTAGGGCTGAAGGCGGGGAGGAGAGAGGGCGGCACAGCAAGCCCTAGGCCTGGCGCCGCATTCTCCCCAGCCCACCCGGGGCCACGCCGGGCCTGGGAGCTGAGTCTAGGGAGTCGGACCGGTGGGGCCGGGAACGCTGGCTGGAAGACGGCAGCCAAGCGGAGAGAAGGGAGGCCCGCGCCGGAAGTGTCTGTCAGCCGCCGGCCGCGCAGGCGCAATCGGGACACGTGGCACTTCCGGCTCCGGGCTGGCATTCGCCGTCTCAGTCGGTGCTTTTGGCTTTCCCCCAGGGGCTGCTCAGAGGCCACCTGACAGTTCTGGGTGTCCCGGCCCTAAGGACCGTGCTCGGCCTCGCCTGCCACGTCATTGACTCTCACCGCCGGCCGGAAGTGGCGTGTATCACCACTACGGAAATCCTCGCGGTTGTCATCTCGCCCGAAGGGCTAGGATGGAAATCAGGGCTTCACTAGCTGCTTTCGTAGGGTGGAACTGAGAGTTCCTCTCCTTGGGTTTTTGTGAAGTTTACTTGAGTCGACAGACGTCATCTTCTGTTGAGGTTACATGTCTGGTACTGAACCGATTAACGTTCATGGCAGTATTTCATTTCACATTTCATCATATTCCAGGTGTAAATTGTAAATGCATTTTTAAAAAAGGAGTGTTTAATTGTGTACGTGTGTTAAAAGCATAATCAAATCATAGAGAAGGCCTTTGCTTTTTGACCGGAAGATTCAGAAGTAATTTTAATTTTGAAACTCGCTAATTCATAGCATAGGCATGGCTAAAGTTCATTAATAGCACATTGAATAGCACGTTTAAATGGCAGTTTATTTCCTCTTCTAAGAGTTTACAGTAAGGTAAAATATTCTAACTTCCTTTCTGGACAAGCAGACTTTTTTTAGTTTTGAGGCCAAAGAAAAGTAGAAACGAGTGATTAGTATAGTTAATGGATGATCTCAATAATCACCTTAGCTACCTTCATTCTAGGTAGATTTTTTCCTGCTCTAAGCTGATGATAAAGTTCTTCTTTAAACTACAGATTTGTACTATTGATTGAAATGTCATGCCAAAGCTTTTGCAATCCCTGAAGAGTTAAGTACATCTTTAATATTAAATGCCTGCTGTGAAATGTTAATTACATACAAAATGAGCAAGACCTAAACTGCTATATCAGGCCTAAAAAGCAAACAGTAAGAATTAAAATAACTAAGTGTTAAAGTTTACCCTAACCCTATTTTATCATTTGCCTGAGACAGTAGCTAAAAATATGTTTTTTGTGTGTGGAATTCCACAGCTCCTTTGTACAAGATACAAGTAAAAAGGCTTCTTTAGAATGAAGGTACTTTTCATCAAACTTTTCAGTCCATAGTCCCAAACCGTATATCTTTCAAAACACTTAAAAAACACAAACAAAAGCTTCTTAGTGTTTTAAAGAAAAAAATAGACCTCAGAGAGAAACTGAACCTTCCTGAGGTCAGACAGAAAATCAGGGGCACTCTTCAAATGGCCATATGTTTAAACCTGGTGTTAAACTTGCTTTAGTTTAGTTGGGTTTTTTTATGCAACTCCTTAATTATCTTGGCTTGTTGACCTTGGCACAAGAGTTTGATCTGGTTAAGTCAAACTTTCTTTGAACTTTGTTCTGTGTAAGCAATATCTCTGTGTTCAAAGAAAAAAAAACTGATGGAGAGGATTAGCCATTTTAGAAAGTAAATAATCTCACTGGTTAAATCAGATTTAAAAAACAAATAATTTGCTAATAAGTAAACAATGTTTTTTTCTAAAATGGTTCCACCCCTAAGAATCCATGTTGCTTCTATTCCCCCCAAAACTATGGTTAAGTCTTTAAAAAAAAACTTTTTTGACATTTTCAGTGTAGTCAGATTTAAAATATTGAGAAGAAAGAGGGTTTTGATAATTCTTTGGTTGGACATCCTATATCTACCCTACACTGCCATATACTTTTTTAAACTTATGTCAGTTATATATTCTACTTTTTTATCCTTGTTTTCTAGAACAACAGGACCCTTCTGCCACCATATACACCCTTCATGTGGATCTATCAGATTTTCGTACATTATTTTCAAAACCTTATCCCTATTTAAGAAAATTATAAACAAGTGACACAAAAGTGTTTCAGTAAAGAGACAGCACTATACAAAGAATATTCCATTAAAACTGATTATTTATTTAATCCCCAAAAAAGGGATACAAGCATTTCTAATAAAATTTGCTGATATGCAGAAGTGGACGTAGGCTTACATCAGGGCCTCTTTGCCTGCCTGTTCATGACTATTGAATTGTCAGCTGATAAATGGGATTTTTTTTTTTTTACTTTTCAGGATAGGGGAAATTATTTTAGGGCTTTTAATTATTTTAAAAAGCTATTTCAGACAAACAAAAAATTTCAGCTACAAACAGGTGTGTTCTGAAACTTGTGGCTCCACTTTAGGAACAGTTCCTTTGGCCTCATTTTCCTCTGACAGGATATCTGTTTGTATCTGAAGTCAGTAGCTCTGAGGTTACATCACAAGTACACTTATCTCACACCAAGCCATTAAATCCCATTGCCTTCTTTGAAAACTTCATCTTTATGTAATTCTTGCTATTCTCACTGCCCGCTAGTTAGTTTTCATCATCTTGCACTTGAACTATTGCAATAGTCTTTCCGGGTTCCCTCTCTCCAATCCATCCTGCATGTTAAATTGAGCTCCTAAATACTGATTCTGTTTTTATTTTTCTGTACCCCCAAACCTGTAATTGCTCCCTGTGTCTGCTCCATCAAGTTAAAGTTTCTCTGCATGGCTTTTCTCATATTCTAAGTAAAATCCAAACCTTCCAGACCTGGCCTTGCTATCTGTCTACTTATACACTTCCTCTCAATCACTCCACTCCAGATATACTTGATATTTCTCTAGCTACTCGAGCATAAGCCTGCCTTTTACACTTACTTTACACTTACTTTTATTATCTGGGATCTTCTTCCCCAAGACAACTATATAATAGTTAAGAACCTAAAAGAATTAGAGACTGACATAGTTTTGAAGCAAGTGCTGGTGAGCTATTGAACATAGCTCAATCTCTCACCCTTTCAGCCTTTATTCCAATGTTACCTTATTGATGAGTCTTTCTCCAAACACCCTATAAAACAGCATATCCTTCCTGCTCACTTACCCTGCTTTTTTCTCCCCATAACACTGCTAATGATTGTTATATATTTGGGTCTATGTTTATCTTTCTTCAATGGAATACAGTTCTATACATATCCTGTCAATTCTAAGGGAATCATTTAAATTTCATGTCTGCCTCCTTGTTTAGACTGTCAGAGTGTAGAGACCAGAGACTGTGTCCTGTTCACCTCTGTATTATCAGCACTTGGCTTGAGGTGTTCAATGAGCATTTTTAAATGAACAAGTTTAAAGTGTTATCTTTTCCAACCCTCTATTCTATTTTGACCCTCATTAATTCACTACAAGTTCATATTGCACTTATAGCCTAAGCCACATCACCAGCACTTGCTTCAAAACTATGTCAGTCTCTAATTCTTTTAGGTTCTTAACTATTATATTACCTTGTGCTCATTGCTGATTTCAGTTTTTAGTCTTGACCTGTTCCAGTACAACCCACACACTGCCACCAGAGCAAACTTTCAAACACACAACTCTGACTATGCTCAAAATGCCCAAAAGGCTCTATAGTTTGGAAGTCAAGGTCCCTGATAGTCCAGGTCAAATCTATCCAGTCAGACCTGGTGCTTTTCCCATTTCCCATCTCTATTCCTTTCTCTGTGTTATTTCTTCATTATAATACATCATCCTTTGGGAATATCAATCCCCATTTTACATACGCGGGATCTGAAACTTTGAATGGCTAGTAATGTTAGAATTGTAGTCTCTACTCTTTTTTAAAATTTCTTTTAATTTTCTTAATTTTTTAGGCGAGTCAATCTTTGGTTGACCTCAAAGATTGCAAGGACCTTGTCAGCTTACAATCCCTTATTTTTTTATTATTTTTAAATTTTTTATGCCTACAGCGCCTGGTCTTCCTAGGTGGTCACCCAACCAAGTACTAACCAGGTCCGACCCTGCTTAGTTTCTGAGATCAGATGAGATTGGGCTTGTTCAGAGTAGCATGGCTGTAGACCTCTAGCTACTCTTAACTATTGTACCCTTAACTATTGTACTCTTAACTATTATATTCTATTAAAAATGCAGCTATTAAAATTCACGAGTTAGAAGAATACTTAATTACATGGGAAAGTGCCCATAATAAATAATTAAGATTTAAATTTTAAATGTTTTACAAAACTACATAATATGATTATAACCTTAAAACTGGTTATATCTGTGAGGTGCAACTGGGGGTAATTTTTCTTTCCATTATGTTTTTCTTGATTTTCCAAACTTTTAAAATTTACTATGTATTACTTTTATAACAATAGTCATCAAAACAATTAGGAGAAAATATCCTATGTGTCTTTAAGGCTCTCCTCAAACACTGGCATCTCCTCCCTCTCTACTCCCTCACCTCCACCACCACTTTGTACTTTGTTATCTTTTTTCTCCCCCTACCTCCTTTTATAGTTGTAACCTAACACATCTCCCTGCCAAACAAAAGGTCCTCGAGGGAAGACTATGTCTTGCTTATTGTCACATTCCTCTATTCCTTGCTTATTGTCACATTCCTCTATTCCCTTTGAGGGAAGACTATGTCTTGCTTGTTGTCACATTCCTCTATTTTTGTGTTGCTGAAGCCAGTCGGAATCATAATTTAGATTTTTTAAGGCTAAAATTCCTGAAATATCAGAAAAGAAAGGTTATCCAGATAAAACCTAAAGAGTAATCTTGAGGAGCCCAGTGAAATGCCTCAGACCATTTAATCGTGTTTATTAACCAAACAGAATTCAAGAGTAGGTGAGTGGAAAGGAGCATAGAAGGAACCCAGACTACGACAGGCTTTTCCAACTCAGACCAATTGACTTTAGGAAAATTATTCAACCCCTTCAGGATAAAATGTACCTAAGAGTCCTTCATGTTATGAATGAATCACTTGCTTGTGTATATTGAGCACCTATTGTATGCCAGGCACTGAAAATAAATTTCAGAGGGAGAAAGGTAGATCTAGTTCTTAATCTCAGGAAGCTTACAGAATGTCTGTTGTGGGAGACTTTATATAATGATACATATTGTGCAATTATAAGCAAGATAACTTCAATGATAAGGCAAATTGTCCAGTTGCTGGCTAAACCTGTAAAAGAGGACTTAACCAAGTCTGGGAGGGAAACTTTGATGAGAGAGGATTGACTATCTGTGCCGAGACCTGAAGAATGCTTAGGAGTTAGCTAGGTGGAGAGAAATCTGGAGAAGCCTTTCTGGCAGCAGGA